TCTTTTTTTAATCATTGGTTTAATAAAAACATTAAAGATGTGAAATTTTGCATATATAATTTGGTGAACCTAAGTTGTAAAACAATGTTTTCTATTTAATTATTATTAAGTATGTTTTTGCGCAATTTTTGTTTAAAAATGCGCCTGACTTTTGTCTAGTGAGTGTATGTGACTGGTCAGTCTCTTAATGACAAGGGTGAAGTTAGTCTTTATGCTCCGAGAGGAACATGATGATACAAGAAGTGAATGGATGAGGGTAAATTGAGAATGGCAGTAGATCCTAATGAAACCAGAGAATGAGCCAAGAATTGTAAAAGAATTTGATTTGACAACACTACTATCAAAGAAATGTTGGATGGTTTTATTGAATACTCAAATGATTTAAGAGGTAATTATGCTGGAAGCTTTTCAAGAATATGTAATTTAAATAGTCAATTAAATCAGCAAAAGAGAGATTATGAAGAGAAGATAGCAGAGTTAGAAGCAAAAAAGGAGGAATTGAAAGCAAGAATAGAACAGTTGGATGATGAAGTATGAATGGAGTGAGAAGAGGCTGAAAAAGCACTAAATAAAGCCATGGAATGGAGAAAATGACAAATGTTTGAAACTTTGTTGAAGCATGGTGCTGCAATGGGTAAACTTCAAGACTGAATAGATTTATTAGAAAATAATTTAGCTGCTAAAAATCAGGAAATAAACTAAAAAAATTATTTAGCAACCAAAGAATTACCATCTTTACCCAAGAAACAAAAAGAAAATAGATTATGCAACTCAAAAAATTAGTAAATAAAGCAAAAAAAAAAAACTAAAGAGAAGTTCCAGACTTTTATTGTTCAAAAGAACAAGTAAGCCAATATGAGATTATAATATAGAATTTTAGAAATAGCCCAAGGAAATGAACAAGTGTGTAACATCTGTTTTCTAGATTTTGATGACCCAACTCTCCTTAATTTTGATACTGCTCTTGCTACTCATCAAATGATGGCTCATAATACTCCTGATGGTTACTCTGATATAGTTTTTATTTGCAGTGAATGTAAAAAAAGATTACAATAATAATACTCTTCCATGATGTGAGAAATGTGGTTGGTTAAAAAGGAATAGAAACAGATGTTTTTGTAGTCATTTAAAAGCTAAATCAACTAAACCACTTTCTGACAAAGAA